GAAAAAAAAAGCTTATTATAGAGAGGAGGGCTTACCGGGATTTTCCCGGTATCCCGGTGGGCCTATCCACTTCTGGCTATTATATATGTTGTAAAACTTATTTTATTTTATTTTAAATTTATTAATAAGATAAATAAGCTAACCAGCGAAGAATAAAGAAGATCCTATCTGCTGAGGCAACACTTACAGGCAAAGTATAAATTATTATAAGCAATTGTCTCACAGTTAGATAAATATCAACAGAGCATTAATTTAAAGCTAGTATTATTAAATTAGTTGATATATCATTGCCTAATAAACAAGTCACTAAAAGTATTTAAGGTATTTACAGGTATAATGTATAACTTACTATATTCAATAATATAACAAATAACAAAAAAGGTACCTACAGATATTAGACGTTTTCATTTCATAAACCATAGTTCTAACTCTGAATTTAAGGTTGAGTCAGAAACATTTGTGAAACATGTTAAGTGTTTAACAACTTCATTTATCTAGAGAATCAGTTGATAAATATTACAGAATCCTGACATATTTTTTATATTAATTTCATTAACGATTGTAATATTAAGTTGTTTCAATTTAGAAATCTATGTTGTAAATCATCAATTTTATTAAGGAGTGGAATGAATACTTAAGTTCTGTAGTAGTCTTCAAAGTTACTTAAATTGGTTGGATTAGATCAGGTTTTTTTTTGTTTTTCAATAATACTAGAAGTTTTAATTTCAATTACTAAATTGTTCATAATACACTTTCTTTACATATTTATTATTGAAGACATCTATAGCGTTAGAGCCTTTTTCTTTTACAACTGATATAATATCTTTTACAATTTCAAAATTACTTAAATTGCAATTACTTACATGGTATGTAACTGATAATATATATAGATGATAATGAACACATAAAAGTAATTAATTCAGTTAATTGAATTAAAAATATACAAGCTTTTGAAGAATATATTATATATTTCCATTCCAATATAATTATCAGTGATTTTATGGTATCAGGTAAACATTTTTGAAACAATAAAATACAATTAAGTCTTTCAACCTAATGAGTACCTACTGAGTAACACAAATACTGATAGAAATATTACAGTCTTTGAATGTATTTTTTAGTATGTAATGAGTAATGACGTTTTGCTGATATATTAAAAAATTAAATTATTTTTTCAATTTACCAACACAGATATGAACACTTTCAACCGTTGAACACCTAGAAAATGACAAATTTAAAGCATAGTTACTGCATTTTTATAGTTGGTGATACCATAACTATACGTCAGTAGCTATTCCTACTATTCCTAAACAATTATTAATATTTAATCTCAGTTCAGATATTATATTAATTACAGTTGACCCAAGAATTTTACCAATTATTTATAGTTCAATACTAACTTTTACTTCGATTTCTTTTACAGTTTGTCCCTTGTATAAATATTGATGGCAATCAATGAATGCAATGAATCTCTCATTTACTTTTATTATCAAATAATTAAACTCATTTGAGACATTTTTGAAATAACTGTCATGTTATACAATAAAATTTAACTTGATCTATTTCTTATAAGATATGAAATATTATTTCTGTATTACAAACTTCATTAATTCATTTTGAATAGCATAGCTAATATATGTAGCTTTAGAACTTGAAAATTTTAAGTGATTTTTAATTTAATATCACCTGCTACATAGTACTCTGAATCTTAAAATATTTTTTAAAATTACCTTCATTCAGTCAGAATGTCCTTTAAACGCAATATTTTGCTTTCCTAAAAATATGATTGTTTCTTCTGTAGGTTTAAGACTCACTTGACTTTCTCTTATTTCTTTTATTCTTTATGAATTTAATATATTCATTAAAACAGTTAAAGGATTTGAATAAATTTATTGAAAGTCGATAACAAACTGTATACAATTTTTATAGTACAAATAGTGTTTTTCTAAAAAACTATCTTTACCAATTAATTTAACAAAATACTCTAATGGTTCTGTAACGTTTTTCATTAGATCAGTATTTTTTCCACCATCTTTTGTTAACACTTAAAATATTGGTAAACATACTATCTACAAAAAAAAAAATTACCTATACTATCTATACATAAAAACATATTCTTAACTTACCTAAATATTTTTATTGGAACTTGTAGTTTAACAGCTATCATCAAAATTATAATCTTCTTATACAAATGTAACATGTACATATTTTAAAAACTTATAAACACATTAGTGGGATGGAATAAACGCCACAATTCTTCCTGCAATTATCTTTCGAGTAGGATTGTTGCTACGGCGTGATCTAATACTACATTTTCCTTTTCGTGTCTGCCTAAACACTCGATTGTCAGTGTTTGAGCATTTTTATGTTGGTTTATAAAAATCTTGCTATAAGAAAATGTGTAGGTAGCTTAACTAATATAGATAGCAAATTATGACCCCAATAAATCGACCGTTTATAGCATACGACATATGTACCAAAATATTACTCAGTATTTACAAAATAATTCAGACTTAACCTGCGAGTATTCAAGCCAAAAATATTTTATAAGATGTTTTTCTCGTTGGCCTTATTTACAATGTAGAATGTAGTAAAATAGATAAGTAAAATCTTTAAGAACATTACAACGTTTAAGAATGAAATATTTTATGTAATCACTTATTTAATCATTCTTATCAATAAAATTACCAATGGCCAATTAGTTTACAAAAGCGAACAAAATATACTATTGTCAAAAATAAATACAAGTACTTAAATATTTAAAAACATTGTTTTTTCATCACTACATTGATTATGATATTTATTAAAAATAAATAATTTATTACCTACCTATGTAATGTACTAAGTTAAGTATAATAAAGTTGAAAATTGAAACATTGTTGATCGTCTTTTTTTTTAATATGTCTGTGGACTAGATCTTTCTTTACGTTTTATTTTAATATTGTAAAATAATAACTAAAAAGTCAAAAAGCGACAATAATGGCGTTTTGGCGTGTTTTACTTATCGTTAGTCGATAAATGAATAAGTATAATCATGTAGAAAATTAATAAAAATTGTACAATTGGTATAGATGGCACAACTGCCACAATCTATTTAAGTTTGTGATAAACAAATGAAAACAATGATGGTGTCGATAAGCTGATAACAACATTTGTGTTTTAGTAGCGTTTCTTCATTATTATCTACGGCCAGGAAGAATCATAACTATTGCTCTACGACCTACGTCCCATTAATAGCGGTATGATAAATAATAAAAATATCGGATTTCAGTTCAATATTACAATATAACATAAATAACGTAATAAACACAAATCATGGTGGGGGGCGATTGTGATAATATTGATAATCCATAATATTATTTGACAAAACATCATACGGTATGTTAATTTATCGTAATTTTTTCCAACCTAGATTTTTGAAAGAATACTATTTAAATTTACCGGAAATTGTAGTTGCAATCTCTTGATAAAATATTATCTTGATTCAATTTCTTTTCTGCTTCTAAGATAATATTTATACATTTTGTTAAAAATTTCCTCTTTTTCTCTAATGTTTTAATAACATGTGGTAAAAATCCAAAGACTATATATGTTTTTCGACTATCATATTGCCAGCTATGACGATAAGAGTTATATTAGAAGACGTCATACCCGTAGGTGTTATCTTCGTCTTACACACGTATGACGTACAACATGGACAAAACGTGTGCACACAGTCTGAGACGTCTGAGCAGAACTCGCTCAATTTTGGTTCTTAAATATAACTACTATAAAATTGAATTGAGACAATATTTCTGAAAGCAAGACGCTGCGTTTTTTTTTTAAATTTAAATTTTGAAAAGTTTAAGGTCATTTTAAAACGATAACATTTTCGCTATTTCTAAACAATAAAATGAACGTCATATTGGGAAAAAAAGGAAAAAACGCAGCGTCTTTCCCTCAAAAATATTGTCACAATTCAAATTATAGTAGTTAAATTTACTCTAAAACCAAAATTGAGCGAGTTCTATTCAGATTACGTAAACGCGTATTGTCCATGCCGTACGTGTGTAAAAAAGAAATGTCAGGTGCGGGTATGACGTCCTCGTAATACATTCAATAATCAAAGTTCAAACTAATAAATAAAAACTATAGTTATTAATCCAATTACCGTTTAGTCCGTATTCTTCATTTGACATAGATTAAGAATTGTACCTACTGTTATACATAACTAAGAAACGTACTTTAAAATTTATTCATTTAATTTAATTATTTTATTATTATATTATAAAAAACATTAAAATCCCACTGTTGGAGTAATTAATTGTAAAAATAAATTTGAGTTATTTAAAATCAGAATGACATGAAACAAATTGATGTATAAAAATTAGATTTCTATCTTGTATAATAAAAAAGGAGCATATGCTTCAAAATTTGAGCCCTAATTATTACAATAAGAACCAAAAACCTATAGCCCTTAAACTCGTTTACCATAACATATATTATTGTCATTGTTTGCTTTATTGTGTGGATCTTAATGTAATAAGTAATAACAAGACTACAACACAAACATATTTTGTGTTTACAAGTATAATGTATTAATAATACTTCATAACTAGTTTTTCAGTAAATAATAAATTAAAATAAGGTAATAAAAATTAGTGTACATTTAGTGAAGGTACATCTTTCCAAATTGATATCATATTTTGTTATAATATAACAATAGGCAATTAATAATATACAATTATTTTGGTATAATCTCAGGTTCATTCATTTTTTCTTTGATAATATTAAGTAATAACCAAAATTTTATTGTCGATAATACATTTTCTTATTCTATACTTAATTACTATATTTTAAAGGTTTTAAGTATTTTAATTTTAAGGTAATTGCTTAAATACACTTGGATAGCATTCCATAGTTTTTTTCCATTTCATTACCGAATCAAAAAATAATTTGTTGACAAAGAATTTAATTAACTATGAAATACTAATTTAATTATTATTAAATTTTGATTTCAGACATTATTTATCACTAAATGTAGTAACATGTTGGATACACTTATGTCAATATATCATAGTGATCCTGAAGTGTATATAATCGCAGCAACATATGAATTTGATGATCGAAATAATGTTGAATCAGCTAGAAAATATTTTGCAGAAGGATTAAAATATCACACTAATTGTAAACATTTATATGTAGAAGAGTTCTGGGTAGAAGTACAACATTTAGAAAAGACTGCAGGTGCCTCACTTCCAATTGCCATTGAAAAATATAGAAATCTCATAAAACGTTTTGAAGGAGATATTGAATTTCATTTTATATTATTGGACAGAGCAATACAATTAAGCGCAGTTAGAGAATTGCAATGCAATGTTGTCAGGTATAGATTAGTTTTAAATAAAATAGAGTGTACATTTTGATAAATATATTTTTTGTTCTATATATGTGTGTGTGTAGGGATATGGTCAAAAAGTATAGGCATAGTGAACTAATGTGGCAAAAATTAGCTAAAATTCATTTTGATGGTTTTATCTATCATCAGGAGACTGAGCAATTACATTATGATAAAAATTATATCAGCGGTATTAGGTCAGTATACTAACATTTTAAAACATATATTTTTTATGATACTAACATATTTTTTTTTTCAGAAATTGTATTAAAACCTATGAAGATGGGTTAAAAGAAAATCTACCACTAAAAAATAAACATAAGTTATGGAACTTTTATATTGATCATGTTATAGAAATTAGGAAATCTTATCGCATGAAAAAAGAAACAATAAGAAATTTTATGAATGAAACAATGGAACGAGCTTTTCAAGAAGCTCATGATAACAAGGCATTACTTAATGCTGAATATTATATATATTGGGTAAAATTTCATAAATTATAATTTTTTTTTTTTCAATGTATAGAATGTATTATTTATAAACAAACAAATATTTATTTATTTTTATTTAGGCTAAAAACACAAATAAAGACTGCCATAGGATTCTGAGAAAAGCAGTTGAGGTGATACATGATAGTGTAGAACTCTGGATTAATTTAATATCATATTATTTAAGCTATGACAGTCTCGAAATGGGTATTGAAGCCTTTCAAGCTGGTGTACGAGCTTTGACAAAAAAATCAATGCCTTTATGGGAAATTCTAATTTTATACATGGGGAATACTCATCCAAAATTGGTAAAATAAGTATTAATAATTTTATAGTTTTTTAGTGGTGTATCTTTACAAAAATAATTAATTAAAACTCTGTTATTAAAGTTATCTTTTTGATACTTGTTAATAATATTTTAAGATTTTGTTGACCATCGTGATTATAAATAAAAAAATAAAACATTTTATATGTTACCTAGCTATTAAGTTAAACTGCACATATCATATTTCTGTATTTTATTCATTTATTTTTACTGTATTCATATTTGATACTAAATTGATTATAGTATCACATGCATTTAAATTGTAATATTTTATTAATTTCCTTAACAATCAACTTCAACTTAACAATATTTAACCTCTCATTTAATATATTATACTAACAATAATAATTGCAGTAATTTTCTTTTACATCTTGTTCAAAATGAAATGATTAAATATTATTCAAATGAGTTCTATTTAATAAATATATTTCATCAAGTAACAGTTAAAAAAATATTTAATTTAATTTCTCAAGCATTCTTTACAGTATATATATTTTTACTTATTTTGATTCCAATAGCAAAAATCGTCTTATGGTGGACAATAGTCAATAATCAATACTTACCTATAAGTCTTCAATAATTATACTATAAACAGAATAAACATTATTTTCTCCATATAATATTTCATGGTTTCTTTATAACACTATTTATTCATGTTTAGCTTCAACAATTATATCACGAAGGCTCACATTTTCCATTTCCAGAAGTTAATTGTGTAATCAGGCCTGAATATTTGGAATGGAGTGTAGTTCATAATGGAATACTTTCTACTCGTGAATTGTTCATTGAACTTAGAGACATAAAACCAGAATGTAAACAGTTATATACAACTATGATTTCATTTGAACTCACTCAGAACTCTGGAATTACCAAACTAAAAACTATTAGAAAATTGTATAATGATGTATGCAATGTTTTTGGTCATAAAGATATTGGTGAGATTACTGTAGATTTTTAAATTATATTATTGAAACTGATTTTAAATTGGTTATACAGAAGTATGGTCTGACTGTATCCGTTTCGAATATATGTACGGATCTCGTAAATTAGTGAAAGAAATTTATAAGGCATCATTACTGTGTTTGGAACCAGATTTAAGGAGTGGTATGACTGAAGAGTTTGAAAAACTTAAAGAGGAATTCATGTACGTTTAATTTTTGTAAAATGTAAATTACATATTTACATTCTGTTTTATTTTAGGGAGGAAGATCCTAAAGATGAAGGAGTTATTGTAATTGATGACGACGAATAATTTAAAAGATACAAAAAAATTATGTTTTTAGTGGGTAATTTGTGTACTTCCTTTTTTTATATCTGTGATATGTAGTATTAAGTTAAAGTCTGTTTATTATTAATGATTATTTTTACTAATTTTTTAAGTGGTATATGCATAAACCTCAATATATTAATTTCTTTTATATTATTATACCTATCATTAAGTATAATATAATGTGTGTATAACATTTAAAATTAAGACATACATCATGATTATTTTATTAACAAAATAAAAAGAAAAAATGGAAATGTATAATTAATTGTAGTTCATGTGGTTAACATAAAACAGGACTATTATCTCAAATATGTATATACAAGCAGACCATTACAACTGTTTCACAATTTTAAAATTTTCTAAAATTAATATAATAAGTGTGATGTAAAATTTTCTACAGTAAGAAGATTAAAAATATTATGGTTTAAGTTTCAAAATGATCCAATGAATATTGGATATTTAATTAATCATTTAATGTAGTATTTTTAGATTCAAACGGTATTAGCTGTAATGATAAAATATTACAAATTCAAAATTCTTTAAAACAAAAATAATTAACTTCATGTTAGGTTTTCTAGAATTATAAGAAAAAGTGAATCTTTTAGAATTGATTTTAAGACCTTTAAATGAAAATTTAATGTCTTAAAAATAAATAATATAATGCAATTTTTTTAGATATATAGTATTTTTTATACAAAAAACTACTTAAAAAAATAGTTTTAAATGAATATAAAGTGTAGTAGACTTCACACATATAATAGTTAATTACATATTATTCTTGGCCTATGGCCCAAGTCAGGGGTCGGCAATTAAAGTCTATGGAGTCCAAAAAAAAAAAAAAATTTCGAGAGCCACTAAAAACTCAGATATTAGTTAATAATTGTCGTGTTATCGCAACTATTATTGTAAATAGCAATAAACAATAAACACCATCGTAATCTCTAAATATATCATAAAATATATATTATGTGTGAAAACCAGCTTTATTAAAAAAATAAATATTTTTTGTGGTCAATATTTTTCCTTCATGAGCCAGACTTGGACCGCGGGCCGCCTATTGCTAACCACTGGCCTAAGTGATAAAAATCTAATGAAATCACCTCTTACCGTATAATACCAACCATCCTAAATGGGGAAAAAATGATAACTATATACAAGAATAGTTTTTTTTAAACAATACTTACAAAGAAAAATAACAAAGATCTTGTTTTTTTGACACTAAATTATTGACTTTGTTAATCGTTGATCACTTCAATTCCCTTCATTGATAAAACATAAATTTTGAAGTTGAACAAGTCACACAAATAAAGTTTGAGACCGATTACTTTCAAAGAGTTTCTTCCACCACACAGATATATTAGATACCAAATTTGCCTTTAATAGAAACCATTTTTTGATATTTACCTTAAAATAAAAAAATTATCTTATATCAAACTTAGGGATAATAACATTAACTGTTATCAGTGAAAAATCTTTAAACAATATTTGAATTTATGGGAACTATAAAACTATTTAAAAATAATAATTTTCCACAGTCTCATATTTGATTTAAAATTAAAAATATCGTATACAACAAAAAAAAGAACACATAATAAACTTACCTATAGGCTATAACTATGGTCATAATTCATCTGATTTCAGTATTAAATATAACATTACGAAATCAGGTCTCTTGAAAACTATATTCACAAATTTTACGTTTAAAAGGCTTTAACGTCACATGCATGTATAGCTACTCCTAAAACAAAAAAATTGTTTTTTAATAAAACTTGGGAACAAAAATAAGAGAAATTATTTAAGTTTAAAAATTAAAACTAAATTTAATCACAGATGATACTAGTAGACAGCCGTATAATAAAATTATCATACATTACAGTACAGGGTAACCAACATTTACATAAATGAAAAAAAAATCTTGCATTTTATGAACAAAAAAAATATTGAATGCAGTATATTATATTATATTGTTGTATTGTTGTACGATTAAAATGATGTTACAAATTTAAAATTCTCTAAAACAAACCTAATGAACTTTATGTAAAATTTTCAAAAGTAAAAAGCTAATGATGACAATTTTTTTGATTTTGGTTTCAAAATGATCCAACCAATAATAATTAATGTTTATTTAACCATTTAATAATATAATATAGAAACTATAGATACGAGTGTCGAAAAGTACTTTTTGTATGATAAAATGAGTTTACAAATTTAAAAATCTTCTTTATTGATTTTAAACAATACACATAAAATTGTTTTTTGATATTTCGGAAAAAATATATAAATATTTCCAAATTTATACAAGCTCCTTGGTGTTGCATATAATTTGTCAATAAAATGTAAATCTTGTGAAACATCGTTTTCTGCAATTAGCTGATTCAATGCATTGTTACGATTAACTATGATGCAAGAACGGTTTTAAAATTTATCCATAATTCATATTAAGAGAGACATATCAAACGATATGATATATAATAAGAAATTTTGGAACAAATCTAGTTTGGCGCCTACGTGAATTATTTAATTTTTTCTTTCGAAAACCTATGTATTTCAACAAGTTTAGATTTTAGAACGATGGTGCAAAAATAAATTGGTGCAAATCATTAGTTTTTGAGCATGAACTAAGAAGATATCTTTTTATCTTTTTTTTTTATATTTTTTTTTATCGTGTTTTTGAGTTAAGGCATTGTAATAATCACAATTTTTAGTGTTTTGCGCTTGACCTGACGTGGTCACTCGCTCGGACAATTAAAATTGAAATCATCTTTCAATTTGTTGGGTAAAACCACTACAAATTAAAGGTATTGCAATTGCATTATGAAACAATACAAATTATAAGTGATTAGCGTTGATTAACCAAAGTTTCAAAAAAAATAATTGAAAAATTCATTATAAGCACGGTAAAATAGAGCGTTGTACGCATGCCCAAAGCACCAAAAATCATATGATTTTCGCAAAGCTTTAACACAAAAATTAATGATTTGCGTCAATTTACTTTTGCACTATCGTTCTAAACTCGTTGAATTATATAAGTTTAAAAAATTAAAAAATTCGCGTGGGCACTAAATTAGATTTGTGCCGAAATTTTAAAAAATTTTGTAGGTAGGTACTATAACGATAAAAAAAAAATACCTTAGAATCTAAATTAAAATATATCATTTTGGGGGCTCGTGGATCAAAAAAGGTTGCGCACCACTGCCTTAAATAATTGTACGTATTGAAATGTTACCTACTTTAAAGTTGATTTGTTTTTTTTTCTTACTCGCGCTCATATAACAGGTAAACAACAAATTTAGTTATAATAGTAATTACTAATTAGTAATACATTTTTAAGAAACTAGTATGATATTAGTGGTTGGTACCTATGTACAATGTTAAGTTCTGAATAGAGATATAGAGTATACTACGTATTTTTATGATCGGCTTAAATTGCTCACGATAATGTCACATACATTAAAAAACAAAAATGTCTTAAATCCAATATGTTCTTCTCTTGGTTAAAAATCTAAAATGTGTTGTGATTGTATGTAGAGGAAAGCGCCATGAAATGGCCCACTATGGGATATTTTGAATTCATAGTTTTGTATGGAGGACTGTAGCCTCTCCAGAATTTTAACACTAGTTGTGCCTATGACTGCTAATAATAATTATAATTGCTGTACTTTTCAATTTAAGATTTTTTTTTTTTTTGTAACAATTGATTACCTATACGGCTATACCTAGTTATTTTCTTCTTATCAATGTGGATCATTTTATATTGGTATAATGGCGTCTTTCTGTGGTAACAGTAACAATAAATAGTAGGTACCTACAATCACGAATCACAAATAACTTTTAAATTATAATTCATAAAATATATATTGATTATAATAGTATGTTAAAAAAATTGATCCCCTCCCCCTCATTCTAAATTTTTGAGCATGTCGTTAGACTAAGAAAAAGATAAATCTTTTGGTTATGATTTTAAAATGATCCAATGGATATTGGAGTTTAATTAGTTATTAAATGCAGCATTTTTGGATATCAGCAAAATTTGTTGCATAAAAAAAATGATTTTTTAATGATTTTTAAATTCTTAAAAACAAACATAATGAATCTGATGTAAAGTTTCTAGACTATGGAATAGATGATAAATGTTTTGGTTTTAGTTTCAAGATGATGTTTAAATTAGCAATATATTATAGTAATATCTGTCAAATTGTGTGCTGAGACATGTACCCTACGGGCTACGGTTTTTTTTTTACTTTGTATGATTATAGCCCATTTAAAAATTCCATGAAATATCCGCCTATGTTGAAACAGAATTATAACTTTTTTTTGTGTTTTTTAGTTTTCATTGTATATCTATTTCTTAATCGCTATAATATTTTAACTTACAAGAATAAAACAAATGAATTATTATGTATTATTTATTATCTTAAATTATAAGTTAGTTTAATAAAATTATTTTCAAATTAAACAGACTAAGCCTTCATTTTCTTTCAGTCACCTTTAAATATTGATGTATAATGCATATTGTAGCCTTGTTTTATGGCACCTTTGTTTCGGGATTCAGATTATCATCACATTCACAAATTGACATTAATTTTAATTCGCTGTGATAGGAAAAGAGTACGTACAACGCATACAAGTACAGCACTGTAACAAAAACAATAAAATATGTGAAAATTAAATGAAGTTAAAGTTATTGAGCCATCTATTTCAAGTCGATATCTTAAATTTTTTTTATAAATTTTGATTATGAATTACTAGGGCTCAGATTTTGTAGCAAATGCTACTTTTGAGGGGAGTGTAATAGCAAGATAATTATTATATATAAATACGTTTTGAATCGTTTTGATTTCAATGAAGTTAACTTTTTTTTTGCTTTTTTCCACAAAACTTGTTTTTATTTCTTTTTCCCCTATTTGCTTTATTTTTCTTAATTCTTACTTATTTTTCTTGAAAATTTAACTTATAAGTTATAGACTAAAAATACTATACTATTATTGCCAGAAATTAATGACTGATAAAATAACTATCATTATTGTGCCAAAATTTTATAGTTTTAAAATTATCTGAATTATATATGCGTATTTTTAAAGCACATTCTAATACTTTAGTTGACCGATAAATATCAATTAGTGAGGTATAGTGTTCCAAATAATTTCTCTATAGTCGTTATTAGTACCTAATAGAATGAGTTTTAATGAAAGTAACTTGACCAAATATATGGTCGTAAATTCCTTTTGTAATATTTAATTGTGTGTAATTTAAATTTGTTAAATGCTTTTTTTGGCTACTTAAAATGTTTTTTCAAGGATTTATTTTGCTACTAAATCCGAGTCCTATGAATTACACACTGACCCGGTCTTAGGCAGAGGACAGTGGGATCTCTGTCCCAGGCCTCGTGCTTTTGTATGACATTTTGGGCCTTGCGTTAATGATATTATACATTATTTTACTTTAGGCCTTGTTTAAAAAATTTCCCCCAGGCCTTGCTCCACCCTAAAGTCGGTTCTGATTACACATCGGATTAACTTAATAATTATTATTATTGCTATGTTCATTGTAATTCGAACAATTACTAACCTTTTGGTGGTGCCCTTACGTTTGTATAAATTAATGGTACATTGGTTCACAAACGTGGAGTTCACCCCTTCTCATCAACATCAGCTTTTAATAGAATTTTCAAATATATTTTTATCGTGTATACCAAAAAAATATTAACAAATTGAAAATTAAAAGACCAAAGTTTTTAATTAAGTAGATATAATTCACTCCATGCCCAGTAGTATACATTTTATCATAATTAGTAGGTGACAAGACAATTCTATTGTCATCGTAAAAGCTCCCTCTCGCATGGGCTACATTATACCAACTCTCTAATCTATTTGAAAATCGAATACTCATAGATAATAATTATTATTATAGAATGAAACATATCACAGCACCGTTATCAGCCTGTAAATGAGTTATTTCCTAAAAATCTAAAAGGATTGCATATTATTCTGTAATTTTGTGTTCAGCACGTTTTTGATTGTTTACATTTTAAAATATATTTTAATCTGACAAAATTATTTAAATATGTTTTAATTATTATAATATTATTCATCATAATCTTGCTAAATTATTTTTTTTTCATCAACACAGGATTTAAGTTCCTATTCTTGTATCGCTTTTTTTTTTACTAAAAGAACACAACTCGGCAACTGAATATCAATGGAGGCGTTTCTATTGGGGAGAGGAGTCGTTAATTAAAAACTTTAAAATACACCCTTTCTCTTACTAATAATATTATCTAGTTATATAATATATAACCGATGGCTCACTAGGCTTTTCTTTTAACATATTTTAACATATTATGAAGTAGGTGGCATGAGTGCCATCTTGTGGTTAATGAATGTGCCTTGTATTCCATGTCACAAGTAGAAAACGTAAAAGATACCCGAGATAAGTATTTTAACTAGTCCTTGTGACTTATAATGATAGTGCCACCTAGTAGAAAGTTCTTAAAATATACTATGCAGTATAGGCTGCACTCTACAATACGATAATTGGTACCTTTGCGTATTGAAAAAAAAAAAAATAAAATAATAGTGAATTCTTACGCAAATAACCTAACATTGAGAGCCAGTCTACAGTGTGACTGTCAGCTTTATTATCGTCTTTGCCTTCTTTTTCTTTTTCTTCTTCTCCTTCTTCTTCTTCTTCTTCTTCTTCTTCTTCGTCACCTTCACCTCCATCACTATCTATATTCTTTTTTCTCCCTTTTTTGTGTTGATGATGTATTGCAGCTTGACGATACATCGTCATATTTTTCCGATATTTTATGGTACGCGTTCTCAAATCGCTTGGCGGGCTTTCGGTGGTAGTCTGTTGATGACGATCGCACCCACATCCATTGTTACCACCGATCATTGTACTCGTTTGATTTAACACAACGGTATTAGGAATAAGAGTAACATCAACGGGATTCGTCATTACGTACGTTCTCATCGGGTGAACTGGCTTAACAGTTAATTCGGGCAAGTTATTTTTCGACCATATTCTTCTTCCGTATTTACTTAGTTCTTCTTCGTTTTCACTCTCCTCTTCAGTTGTTTCTTCATCTTCATCATCATCTGTATCCTCCTTATTGTTTTATTTTAAATTTATAAAGATTATTGAGTAAATAATTATTTAGATTAGGTAAATAACTAAAACAATTGCGTTCTGCAATGATTTTTTTATTAGGTAATACGTTGTGTTTATCACACAAGAGTATGTACAAATAATAAATATTGTAATTGTAAAGTATTATTCTTAAAACATAATTTAATAAACAGTGAGAAGAAAACCATATTTTTTTGAAACTATAAATACTAATACTATACTTCATAAGTAGGTACTATTATTATATTAATACAAGTAGAAGTAGTATAATATATGTTTCGTTGTTGTTACAAAATACGGTTTAATAATGAAATAATTTTTTTTAGCTTGTATGTTACTATATAGATAAAGTAGGTAGGTACCTATTTCTACATTATTCTTACCAAGCATACCTATCCTAGAATTGTTTTTCATTGAAATGTTAAATTTAAACAACCGAATAATAATTCTAATAGTTACTTACTTATAATTTATAAAATTATAAAAACATTGATAATTACAAAATATATTGTGTTTAAAAATTCTAAAATATAAATATTATATATTATACAGTTATTAATACATTACATTTGAGTGATTTGAACTTCCTACGGAAATAAGCCACATTGATGGTGCACATCTTTTTTTGTTTGCTACACAGTATTTTCTGCATAATATTTTAACAGTTATTAATATTATAGCAATAATAGGAATGTATAATAGCTTACGTGTTGTGTTTTAGTAATCTGAAGTATAACGATAAAACTAGCCACATAACAATAAAGATGACCCAAAGAAATATTGTAAAAGTTATCAAGTTTCTTGATCTCTATGATAGTACAGATTTTAATTAAAAACTAAAAATAATATCCTATATCTACTAATCAGATTTTTTATTAAGCCTACCAATCCTTTCAATATTATTAAAATAATATAATTTAGTTTTAAGCTTATGCTAAAAATAATTTTAAGGAGTAATCAGGTGAATTCACTAATGAATGAATAGTTAAAACATTATTGAGTTTGTAATTTAAAAAAATAATTAAAACTTAGTAGTAAAAAATATTTATTTTAGAAATAAAATTATAAATTTTTAAATTTTATACGATTTAATTAAATTAATACTAATATTGAATAAATGAACTGGTCTCGTAGATTTATTTGTTTGCCAAATCTTTTGAGAATTAAACAAAAAATCACATTGAAAACCAAGATGCTCTTATATCTATAGTACGACGAGTTTACAGCCATATTTTCATAATAACTATAATTGAATATTGATAATGGAAAAGTATCAGTTAAGTCTACCTTACATTTAATTTGCATTAAATTTTTGTGTTATCGTTCCATCTATTAAACAATTAATTCAGAAAGTTTTTTCACTGATTATTGCAAGTAATAAAAACTCACCTATGACTTAACGAATGTGTTATATTAGGAAAAAAACATCAATGCAATTAACTAGGTACCTACAGATACCTACACAATTCAACGAAAAATTCAAGTCCATTATAATATATAAATCAATTAACAGTGCTAAGAAACCCGAAATGTAGTCAATTATCCAGCTAAGTTTTTAAAATCGTAAAATCTTCCTAAAATGTCATCCTGAAGATTGTCGCTAGAAATCAGAACGTCAATTAAATTACACTTACATATATATCATATTTATGTATTTGGCATTGTTACTAAGTATAAAAGTACTGTGTCCTCCCAAAATAATTATTCAAGATTAAAAATAAAGGCAAAAGGGTACCATTCTGCGATTTATTAAGTGTCAGGAAGAATTAGTGTAATTGGTGTGTTAAATTTGAATTTAATGATATATATTTATACACAAAAAACGGTTCTGAGTGAAGATTTTCAGCCTATATCACCAAAATGTTTTATTAGGTATATATTATTTGATATAGCTATTAAATTAATTTATTGTTTTATTTGTATTATGATAGGTTGATGTAACTTTTTCTCAAAACATTACTTTTATTATATTATTAGTATTTAACTATTATAATAACATGTATTATAATATTATACCACAATACATTATTGTTCTTAACTTTTGAGTAATAAACCTTACTATAAATACCGTAAAACATTGTTCATATTATAATTACATAGTATCTTAAAATGAGTCGACATGTTTTTAAAATGTTATTGTTCATCGCTCAAATACAAAATTTTGTCTAATTTTAAACTAGGTACAAATAAATACAAAAATAAATAATTTTGTTAATATAACATTGTATTAAATCTTAAAACCCGGACTATAAAAATTGAAAGATTTTGTACTACAAAATACTTATAGTTAGTAATTTTATGGTTTTGACAAATTTTGTTAAAATTTAAACTTAAAATAAATACAAAATAAAATTTTGTCTTTTAAACAACTTGTGTATTCATCATAATAAAAATATAAACTCCAAACTTTAAGCAGTCATAAAAAAATTATTTGACTTTCCAGTAAAAATTTTATTTTAATTTTGGTAGCAAATCTCATAAAAAACCTTTCATTAAATTTTAAAATTTTGAGTATAAATAGAATTTTTTTAAGAATTTGCAAGTACAAATAATTTGTACATTTTTTAATGTTGGAAATTTTGTCGAAATTCTAGCTTTAGGTACTTATAAAAAAATACTATAACTATAAATTGTTGATATTTTTTAACTATGAAATAATAACCACTTACTACGACCTTATACATCTTATATTACATTTTCAAACATTTTTACCTATTTATAGTTTTTTTGTCGGCATTTATGAAAAAAATCCTAGAAGGTTTTAAATTCATTAAACATTTAATTAATTGTGTTTGTCTAATGAAAAGCATCTTGTACTTTTATTAGATAATTTTAATAGATTCATTTTAAATCCAAGTACGTAAAAAGACGGATAATAATTAATTATTTTCTGTATCTAAACCAAATTTAAAATTCTTCGAATAAAATATTATATAACATTCTACTATGGTTCACCTTCAATTAAAAATTGTAATAAGAACAGTTAAATTATTGAGATCGCTGACTACAATAATATTACTTCACCCTAATAATAAATGTCAAAAAAAGATAAATAATGAAAAAATTATATGAAAAAAAAATACTTTTATTATCTCGGACAGTTTATACCTAAATAGGCTAAATAATGTTATCATTTTTTGTATATTATTGAGAAACTATTCAAACATTTTTAATCAGTGACTTATGATAGTAAACTTAATAAACACTTAAAATTGGATAGGGTGTTTATTCATTAGCAAAGTCGGACTGTTGATATTTTTTTGTTGGAGTTTATTAATTAATATTAAGAAAGAACTTATGTACCTACAATATTGATCTAAGATAATGATACATTCATCTATATTGACTGTATTCTGTTATCTTTTGTAGCCGTGATTATTTTTTTTTTTTTTTGTAAGCCTAGTTAATTCACACATAGTTAATATTTTACATTAATAATATAACAATATTATAACTTACCCAAGAAGCTCCTATAATCGCTATAATCCAAGTAGTTAGTAATAAGAGTATAGTTCCAACAACAACGAGTTGCTCTAAACGAGGTAAAAACAAATTTACAATTAGCGCTGCACATAAAAATGATAATAAGGACGTAAAAATGTGAAATGGCGTATTTTGGAGAGATGTCTTTCTGACTAAACACCCCCAACTTAAAAAAAAAAGGATAGCCTAATGTATAAGTATTTTATTTATGTTTATCAAAATATTTATATCTAAACTGCAAAAGTGAAATTAATTTCATTAGAACAAACGACATGTTTCGAATTATACTTGTATTTTAAGTGAAGTTTAAAATGTGTCTGGAATATACGGGAATTATTTAAATTTCATCGGGTCTTTAAGGAATCTTTCAGAAACCCTGCCGAAAATCACTCAAATTACGCCACTGAATATGTGAATAATTTCGAATATTTACTAACTTGATAATTCGGATCCATTCATTCCAATTATCGCCACCGACAACAACTAGAATATTTAACTTATGTTAAATTAGTAATCAATTTTTTTTATTTTGATAAAAAATAATACAAATTCATGATTTATTTGTATTGTGTAAATTTAATTCTTATAGGATTTTTATTAATCATTGTTCAATAATTGCCACATATTTGCATTAGGACTACGATAAAAAAATTAATGAAAGATTATAAAAACTTATATAAACTAAATTTATCTATCTGTATTAAAATTTTGTAACTAAAATTTTGTTAACCTAATAGTTTAAAATTAATCGTACTTAAATTATAAACATAACATTGTATTATATGTACTCTATTCAAAAAGAAATCTTGTTTTTATCAGGTAACTATATAGAGGCACTTGGACAACAACCGCTTTGTTAGTTGTCACCCCCAACCAAATTATGTCATGTAGTAAAACTTTATCATAGAGCATAAAAAAGAAGCCGCAATTCTTTCTTAACGTAATATAGAGTAAAGTCATTTATATATATATATATATACATAAATATTAATGGTTATTTGTCCTCTAAAAGCTCAAAAAATACCCGACTATTTTCAATAAAAGATTTATCAATATATTCCTTGGGACTCAGAGAACGTTTAGAGAACGTTTATAGATTATTTTTAACCTCTATAGGTTGCTAGAATTTACTCACGTATGAATTTAGTTTTGACTCGCAAAATTTAAATTTGTTTTTGTTTATTAAATTATTGACATTGATTATAGAATATATTTAATTAGTATAAATATTCTATACAATAAGACGTATCTAAACTTTAAAAGCCGAGAAGAAACATCAAATTTTTAAATCAAGTGATCTATTTTATTTTATAAACATACCTGTAGTATATTTAATAGCTATAAAGAATTAATAATAATTAACAATTTTACACAAATAATAAAAATCTGTACTGATTGAACTATCTTTTATTCCAAAGATATGACTTTTTCAGGCACAATCCATCGAGGAAAACAATTCCCATCAGTTCCCATCCCATGAACAAGCGTATGTTGCATACTATAGTTGTAAAACTATACAACTACTCAATGGAGAAATCATGGGAGTCATTTTCATAGTTTTGAAATTTATAAATTTAATTGTAAAACGTATTTTTTTTTTCTTTGGAACTGCTACAATTTTTTAACATACAAACCAATGCAAATTTAGTATATTGTAATCTCAAGAAAATTCGGACATGGCTGCAAAATGTCATATCAATACATCATTATCTGGATTGAATGTACAAATGACAGAAACATTCAAAATCTAAAAGATTTGAATCATAAATAAAGAATTGTTGGTGGTGCTCTAGTTTTATTGACAAATGTGAAATGATTTAAGACTCTTACTGGGTATTCCACGTTAAACGTAGATACAAGGATAAAATTAACACTTTTGTTACACTAAAAAACAATTTATGTATTAAAGTATTTTTTAGAAAATTCCATGATATTAGTGGTGGAAAAATCGATTTTCATATAACTATTAACTACACAATTAAATCGCGTGAAAATGTCTTCAACATTATGACCCCTAAAAATGCATTAATAGAAAGGACTAACAAAAAATATTGTTCATAATCTATTATTAAGATAAACATATAATTATTTATAATTAATATTTATTACCCTAAAGTACTTAAAATTTTGTAAATGAATAAAAAATGTTAAAATATAAAATAAATATATTTATTACTAACTTAATTTGCATATTACCGTGCAACGAAATACCGGAATAGAAAGGATAACGTTTGTTGGATTAACTTCAGTAAATTTAATATAAAAGTAGAAATATAGCAAATGGAAAATAATAAATAAATTGTGCTATATAAAATATTTAAAGGTAAATAAGATTTTAAATAAAATATCGGTCTAGAAATAAACGATGTATTTTTTAATATAATTAAAATAATATGTAAACTAATAACTTAACGCAAACTAATAAAAAAAAATATGTAATTATTTGAAACATATATAAAATTGGTTTAATTAAATAAATGATACAATACCATCTAATATTTTATAAAACCGCTTAAAACTTTTAAGGTATACATAAATATGAATTATAGGAACACATGCAACTATATTATTATGGAATTATACAATAGTATTCATTAATGAAACATAGAGTTTCCGGTTAAATAGTGTGAAATGAAATTCATTTAAATAATAATAATAGTTATTATTATTAATTATTATTATTATTGAACAATAAAAAGTTATCTTATCGTTTACCGTAAATACTGCTGTAAGAACTGCAATTCCAAATTCTACAGTTAAAGATTGAATAAACAAAAAATTATAATTAAAAAATTTCATTTTGATTGTTGTAAAATTATATATATTTTACAAAATAAATCTTTATGTATATATTTATGATAAATTACAATGTATCTGTTACTAGGCATTGACGTGGACTATTGAAATGCACAAAAGTAATAAAAACTCTTTAACATTGATTTTAACTATAAATAAATCTAATACAATTTTATTTTTTAAATTACATTTGAATATATTATATGAAGATAGTGGAATTGTGATAAATTGATGCATTGTGTAAATACAATGTTGAAAACCTAAACTTGAATGAACCCAAATACTTTTCAAATATGTAATTAAATTTCGATTTTATTTATACTTTATTTTTTAAGAAAAGCTTACAATAATTTAATAAAGCATAGTATATACTTTATTTATTTCTACTTTCGTCTATTTATTGGTATGTTCTTTACTCCACTTTTATATACACAATTTGCTATCCTATGCGTTTGTAAGACGGAGACAACGCGCGTGAGTGTAGCGTCATCCTCTTAAATTAAAATGTATTGAGAATACTAGGTGATTTTTTTTTTTATCCAAATTAACAAATTAACAAATTCATGAAAATTAGCAAATTATTTAGTAAGTAAAAACAAATTAACAGAATTTACAGAATACAGTCTCTTATGTTACGGTGAAAGATGAATATTGGTGAATGTCGTCATTCTCCGGTGAATGACATCTTTTACCAAAAAATGATTCGATTATGTAGGTAAATGATGTAAAAACCAGATTTTAAATTCAAGTGTACATTTTTCACCGATCATTGATGTCATTTACCAAAACTAGTGGTAAATGATGATAAATCTCAAATAATACACTGATTTTTTTACTATAGGTACTATTTATAATAATGATTTATTGTTGGTGGATGTTTCATTTTTTATTTTAGGCATTTATTTGAATGGGATAATAGGTTTATAAAAAATAATAAAATACGTGTATATTACAAGTTATTTATTTGTATAATTTTGGTTACCATGACATTTTGAACTGCACAACATTTCCGCTGCATTGCAAGCAATTTTTTTAGTACCACAACTAGTACACACATTTTTACAAATAATATTATAAAACACACATTCGTAGCAAATACAACTCGCTATAATATGCCCGTCGATACTAACTAATAAACTAAAAGATTATCTCATATTATTACTCGGGTTATTGACGTTATTGCTAGTTGGAATTTTCGTTTATCTATCTACTTCCGTCATGATATTTTTAACTAATGAAGATTACTCGGTACCTACACGCTTATCACTGATCGTTCATACCGACATAAAAGTATTAAACATTATTCTCCAATTAAACTGGTGATTGACGACAATAACCGGGGAATGTCTGCATTTACAACGTTTACCAATTTTTAGGTAAATTATGTCATTTACCGGGAAATGACGTCTTTTACTACGTTTACATCATTCACCGTAACATATATACTAATATACTATACGCAAGTTAACACTGAAAATTATAATTGACAAATTTTTAATTAAAGCATGTTATCAAATAATTCAAATTAAAAACAACAAAATGAATTTGAAACAAAATTATAGATAATTAATATTTCAAATAGAAATACCAACGGAAATCAATATATGAAGGAATATGGATTCAAAAGTCAAAGCGACCTTTTTATACAAATGTGTAGAAAAATTTAGGTGCGTTACCCTAGAACCCCTAGGTCCAAATTTCGACTTGAAAACTGTTTGGTATCATGTTATTTATTATATAATAATTTGTAACCACATCGATACCCCGGAAAACGGCGCTACAAGTGCCGGGTGGCAGGGTAACGTTACTTACATATAAATATAATATAAACAGTGGCGGCTCGTAGATAGGGGCGATGGGGCGATCGCCCCCCTTTTAAAATTATCATTTATTACAAATTTATAAGTTTATTATCAATTTTTAATTTTATATTGTAGTATAATATTATCAAAAATAAAAATTGTGTTTTCTATAATATTTACATTATTAAGTATTATGAAAACATTATCAGATAATGGGAGTTTAAAAATAAATCATTCAACACTGTAGCTTCTGAAAATCGATAACCGATAACGATTTACCAAGATCCGCTAGCAGCGTATGCCATGCTTGGGCGATGTTAAAAGTCGCTCGTCATAACTATGATCGGAATACAAAAACTAAGAAGGGGGAACACAATAATAATACTGCCGCCGGGGCGATGATTTTAATCGCCCGATACACATGGATTCCAAACTTGCGTATATTTATTATTTACTTTGTGCAGTCATAACTCGCAATCAATTATTTCAATTTGATATTTTTTTTTACAAAAATATATACTGGAATTATTAATTTTTTAATCATGGATTCATCCACACATAAAAATGTTATTAAATTAATTTAATTAAATAACCATTATTAATATTATTTGTGTTCGATACCTACTTTCCATAAATAAGCAATTTTATATCGCCCTCCCACTTTCAAAGCACACGAGCCGCCACTGAATATAAAGCAACAACTCAAAATTTTGGTGTGTTAAAAAGCTTGAAAATTTTTATGCAAGGTACTTCATTAATTGTTATTGTTGAAATTTAAAAATATGAAAATACATAGGCTGTATAGGCACAATTTATTTTATAATCCTTTAAAATTGAAATGTTTACGAAATTAGATATTTA